AAACAGCTGCAACCTTGACTACTAAGCACCCTGACTATGCCATCTTGGCAGCAAGAATTGCTGTCTCTAACTTGCACAAAGAAACAAAGAAAGTGTTCAGTGGTAAGTATGTGGTGAAAAAGAAAGAATTTAATATTCTCAGAAAATTAATAAGAGTACTAGAAAAAAACCTTTCTGCTGTGACATCTTGAAGAGTAGAGTGAGAGTGTTTACTAAATGATTGTTGATAGAAGTGATCTGCTTGGCATTATAGATTCTGAATTTTAAGTTGTATTTCTGTTTTGTTACAATAAAATATTGGTGAGAAGAGATTATAATTTCTGCATTTCCTTATTTTCATCCAATAATTCTCAGTGGGGGCAGGTATCAGAATCACTTGGGAATCTTTTTAAACTTCAAGAGCTTACACTCATTTTTACTCTGAAAGATTGCTTCCTTAAATGAGGCATTATTATATATTTAGTCAACATGTACATATTTATTCAACACTTTCTGTGGTAGGCACTGAGGTGTGTTGGGATGAAAAAAAGGTTGAGAACCGCTATTTTAAACTATTATCTGATGAATGAATTAGCTGTTAAGTGGTCTTGACATTTTTATTCTGTTGTGTTTTTTTAGATGTGATGGAAGACCTCTATAACTATATAAATCCACATAATGACAGACACTCTCCCATGGTGGCCAAGTCAACACTGGATATTGTTTTGGCCAATAAAGATGTATGTATAACATTTTTCTAGTTATAAAATTTCTAGAAATTTTTTATTGGTTTTATTTTTTTAAATAACATACATTTTAGACAATTTAAAGACTACAAAAAAGATAAAGACCAATTCTCTTTCCTGCTCTGAATCTTGACTTTACTTTCTAGAAACAACTTTGTTTTATCATTATTTTATTTTATTTTTAGAGACGGGGTCTCACTCTGTCGCTCAAGCTGGAGTGCAGTGGAGTGATCATAGCTCACTGCAGCCTTAAACTCCTGGGCTCAAGTGATCCTCTTGCCTCAGCCTCCGGAGTAACTGGGACTACAGGTGCATGCCCCCACACCTGGTGAATTTTTCTATTTTTTGTAGGGCTGGGGTCTTGCTCTTGCTAAGGCTAGTCTTGAACTCTTGACCTCAAACGATCCTCCCACCTTGGCCTTCCAAAGTGCAGGATTACAGGTTTGAACTACTGCTCCTGGCCCTGTTGTTTTTAAATGTATTTTTTCAGAGCTATTTTGTACATACATGTGTACACATGTGTGTGCATATATATTTCTTTCAGTGGTAACATAATGTGCATAGTGTTCTCACTGATACTTCTTTTTACTTACAAGTATATCTTAGAGATTGTTCTATATATGAGCATTTATGAATTTACCATATTCTTTCTGACAGTTGCATAACATTCTACTTAATAGATATATTGTCATTGTTATATACATGTAATTACATGTACTTAATATGTAATTACATGTACTTACACTCTAGTGATGAATATTTTTTTCCATCTTTCACTGAAGTGAATATTCTTGTATGGTAGGTATTTTGCCTATAGTTGAATATATCTATAAGATAAATCTGTTAAGTAGAATTGCTGAGCCAAAGTGCATGAGAATTCAAGATTTTGCTAGATACTGCCAAACTGACTCCCAAAAAAGGTAACTCAGGTAAAATTTTGAAAGATCTTGCTTAGTATCTTAAAAATTATCCAATTGTGTTTGAACCCCTTTCTTTATGAGATCCCAGAGGACGGAGGAGGGGGGAAGGTGTATAGGTCCAGCTAGCCCTTTTACACATAGGATTTATTCACCATAGATATCTGGATAGATTAGAAACCAGTTTTAAATTTAGGTAATAGGATGCTTAGTTGTCTGTCTCTCTAAATATGTATCAGGTATTAAGGAGACTAAGAAAAATAATAAAGAGATTGAGAGAAAACTGAGTTGTTTGTGTGTTATTCATTTGTATAATCTTAAATACAAGTTAAAGACAAATAAAACAATAGCAAAGCTTATGTCTAAAAATATATATTGATAGTCAAGTGTTTCAGTTGTCCATTCATGGTAGGCCTATACCTACCGTGCTACCTTTGGCAACAAATATGCCCTTAAAAATTTAAAAGAAAGGAAAAGCAGGTTTTCATATTGATTTTTCTAGTCCTTGGACATGGATCATTATGTGGAAACACTCAGAATTTTGAAAAATTGGCTCCATTTTTTTCCATATCCCAAATGATTATTTGTATCTAATTGCTTTTGTTTTCCTCTAAATGGTTTTATGGTCTACAAAAACTCTGTAACAATGACCATTTGTGCTATAAAATCTTACTGTGACAGCTGGGTGCCTTGGCTCATACCTGTAATCTTAGTGCTTTGGGAGGCCAAGGGAGAATCACTTGAGGCAAAGAGTTCAATCCCAGCCTGGGAACATAGTGAGACCCCATCTCTACAAAAAATGAAATTGGCGAGGCGTGGTGGTTCGCACCTGTAGTCCCAGCTACTCAGGAACATTGCTTGAGTCCAGGAATTTGACGCTGCAATGAGCTATGATCACACCACTGTACTCCAGCCTGTCTCCTAAAAAAAGTCATCTTACTGTCACAATAGCATTTTGTTTAATGCAATCCTACTTTAATTATTTATCATATATATATATATTATTTATCATATATATTGTTATGTGCAGTTTAAAGTAGGCTAATTTTCACAATAAAAATTGGATTAACAGCCAATCTGAAAATATGTTCAAGGCTGATAATATAGTCCAATTTATGTTCATGTTCTTTCCCTCTTAAAAGATACACTATAAACATAATAGGGAAAGCTTGGAAGATCACATTTAATCACACAACTTATATTTTTGTATTGTCTTCTAGTCTTTAAATATGCAATTTTAAAACCTAATTAGGATACTTGGTTTATATACTCATTTTTTTCAATGTTATATGGATTTCTGTAGTAATTAATACTTAGCGTTCTTTTGTATCCTATGTTAATTTTAATTCTGGAGTCAGGGCTGAAAGATATCAGATTTTGTGAAAATAAGTCTAATTATTTTAATTATGGATTCTTTTTCATTCCCCTTAGCGCCTGAATTCTGCTATTATCTATGACCGAGATTTCTCTTATAATTACTTTGGCTTTAAGGTAAATCTGGGTTTCATATAAGTAGGAATTCCTACTTCAGTCAGGAAATACAGGATTTTGTTTATGTTTTGGTGATATAGTTATAAGGCAGTAAATTGTTTGGAGTTGGGATGGACTTGGGAATTAATGGAGTTAAGGTAGTGGTGGTGGTTTGAATTAAGGCAAAGATAGCTTATCCATTTGCAGTTTTGAATTTTCCAAATGTTACTTCTGGATTGAGGAGTTATACAGGTAAATTGCCAGAATTATACCATATTCTTCCACTGTTTATGCAACATTTATTGAATGCGTGCTGTGTGTCATGTTCTTTTCTAAGTATTTTCGTGCTGATAGACTGTGGTGTAGTGACTGAGAACGCACATGTTGGTGTCAGACCATCTGGGTTCACATCTCTGCACTATTTCTTATTAGCAAGTTATTTCATCTCTTTGTACTTCAGTTTCCTCATCTAGAATGGGGATAATATAAAATTTCAACAATAAATTCTATTTAGGATTAAATGAGTGTATGTATTGCTCAGATCCGTGCCTGGCCTGATAAAGCACTTTAGGAGTGTTAGCCATGTGGTAATGATAATAATGAATACCACAACTTATGCTATTAATACATACAGAGCTGACTTTTTTCAGAAATTTTCATGCAATCTTTGCCAAAACAAAACAGCCAATGATAATGTCCCAGACTGAAGCTAGGAAGAGTAATATGCTGTTATTTTCATTTAAAATTTTAATAAAAACTGAAAAGACTTAAACAGATTGCCTTATTGTGAATGAATGATACTCTGTCTTTAAAAACAGTGCTCTGAAAATTTTTTGGTGTTTTTTTTTCTTTTTCTAGACTCTAGAGCGGTCCTATTTATTGAAGATCAATGGAAAAGGTAAGAAATGAACATGTTTGTGTGTTATACTTTGTATTCATTATATTGAATATAAAGCTTTGAGGTATTAACTTTTTTAAATATTTATATTTATTTATAATAATTTCTTTTGTTTTTTTTCTTTTTCCTTATTCAAAGTCTAGGTATTAGCTTTAATATTTGTTTCTTTCCATCTTTCTTTCCTCCTCTATATAATAAAATATATATTATTATATGAATTATATATAATTTATATATAAATATATATAATTTACATATAAATTATATTTATATAAAATATAAATTTTATATATAATATAAATTATATAATATCTTTCCATCTTTCTTTCCTCTTCTATATAATAATATAATATATTATATTGAATATAAAGCTTTGAGGTATTAGCTTTTTAAAAATATTTATATTTATTTATAATAATTTTTTTGTTTTTTTTCTTTTTCCTTATTCAAAATCTAGGTATTAGTTTAATATTTGTTTCTTTCCATCTTTCTTTTCCCCTCCCCTCCCCTCCCCTCTCCTCTCCTCTTGTAAGTTTTTGAGATGGAGTTTCACTATATTGTCCAGGTTGGTCCTCCTGCCTCCGCTTTACAAGTAGCTGGGCATAGAGGTGCATGCCACCGTGCCTGGCTGCCTGAATATTTCTGTTTAGACTCTAAATAACATTTTGAACTTTAGCTTAGTTTGTGAATAATTGTCCTGCTTATTGATATGAAGTTTTTCTAATTTTCTTTTGGTGTTCCTTTTTTTGATTCAAATATGTGTCTCAGACTAGTTTTTCTGATATGTTCCATCACATGAAAATTCCTCTATTTATAGTGGCTGAAAGACCACAGCATATGTTGATGAGGGTATCCGTAGGGATTCATGAAGAAGACATTGATGCTGCAATTGAAACATACAACCTTCTTTCTGAGAGGTGGTTTACTCATGCTTCTCCCACTCTCTTCAATGCTGGTACCAACCGCCCACAACTTTCTAGGTATGTGTCATCTATCGTTATTTTAATATCCTGAAATGGTTTTGAGGAGGGAAATGAACCTTGACCTCAAGAAATTGGTCTATCACATAAAAAATAATTTAAATCACTGCTTGCTCTGATTAAATGAGATTTGCATTTAAAGTGTACTATTCAATGACTTTTAGTATGCTCACGGAGTTGTGCAACTGTCGCCACAATCAATTTTAGAACATTTCATTATAAGTATTTGCTCTCTCTCCAATTCATTCACACTGCAGTCAGATTTTTCCAGAATGCAAATCTTGTTTAATCAGAGCAAGCAGTGATTAAATGTTTCTTAAATTATTTTTTGAATTATATCTCAATAAGGCTGTTTTTTTAAAAAAGTAAATGCCAAGAACTAGTTAAGAGACTCTTAGTAGTTTATACAAGAAATTGTGATAGGTGGGTTAAGGAGGTGAAAGTAGAGATTGAAAGAAGTAGAGAGATTCAAGAGATATTTAGGAGGTAAAATTGACAGAATTTGGTAATATTTTGAATATGAGTCAAGGATAATTCCTGCATTAATGAATACAATAATAGCATTAATGGTGGTGCCATTTGCTGAGAACAGGAACACTGTGACAGAGTCTGGTAATATGTAAAAGAAAAAAAATTGTTAGCAAGTTGGTTTATTCTGGGAATTCAAGGATAGGTTAACATTAAAATGTAATTCATTACATTAATATTGTTTACAATTTAATACTCTTTCATTAGAAAAAGGTTCAGCAAAATAGATATAGAAAATAACTTCCTTATTTGGTAAAAGATACCCACTAAAAACTTAGATGTATCATCTCTTTTTTTCAGCATGGTAGTAGAGACCTGAGCGACCTCTATAAGATAAAACAAAAGATTGGAAATGAGGGAACAAAACTGTAAAGATTCACAGAAATGATATTAACATAAAATTAAAAAGTTTTTAGCAAAATATCTGGATATAAGTTCAATTTACATTAATCAGTTGAGTTTCTATACTTTAGCTGTTAGAAAATTTTAAAGTTTTAAAATAGAGCCATGTATAGATGCTATAGACCTGCGACCTCGAGTATCTCAGAGGCGGTGAATAATAGCTCTTCACATCTGCAATAATAGTGGCCTCCAATAAAGACTACATTACAAAAAATGGGAAAGAAACAGAATGGAAAGAATAAAATGGTTGAAGAGGCAGAGCCTGTAGAATTTGTGGTGGAAAAATTACTGAAGCGACATATAGTAAATGGGAAAGTGGAGTATTTCCTAAAGTGGAAGGGATTTACAGATACTGACAATACTTGGGAACCTGAAGAAAATTTAGATTGTCCAGAGTTAATTGAAGCATTTCTTAATTCTCAAAGAGCTGGCAAAGAAAAAGATGGCACAAAAAGAAAATCTTTATCTGACAGCGAATCTGGTGATAGCAAATCAAAGCAGAAAGGAGATGCTGCTGACAAACCAAGAGGCTTTGCCAAAGGTCTTGGTCCTAAAAGAATACTTGGTGCCCCAGACAGCAGTGGAGAATTAATGTTTCTTATGAAATGGAGAGATTCAGATGAGGCAGATTTGGTGCTGGCAAAAGGGGCAAATATGAAGTGTTCTCAAATTGGAATTGCTTTTTATTTTTATTTTTTAAATAATAATTTCTTTTTATTTCAGCATATTTTGGGGGTATAAATATTTAGGTTATGTGTGTTGTCTTCCTCCCCTTTCCCCCCATCCCGGAATCAGAGCTTCAAGCATGTCCATCCCCTAGATGGTACGCATTGCACTCATTATGTATGTATATATCCATCCCCTCCCCCGTCCCATCTGCCTGATGCCTAATAAATGTTATTCCTATATGTCCACTTAGGTGTTGATCAGTTAATACCAATTTGCTGGTGAGTACATGTGGTGCTTATTTTTCCATACTTGGGATACTTCACTTAGTAGAAAAGGTTCCAGCTCTATCCAGGAAAATACAAGAGGTGCTATATCACCGTTGTTTCTTATAGCTGAATAGTATTCCATGATATACATATACCACATTTTATTAATTTACTCACGTATGGATGGGCACTTGGGTTGTTTCCACATCTTAGCAATTGTGAATTGTGCTTTTATAAACATTCGAGTGCAGGTGTCTTTTTTATAGAGTGTCTTTTGTTCTTTGGGGTAGATGCCCAGTAATGGGATTTTTGGATCAAATGGTAGATCTACTTATCTACTGTATCACTTTAAGGTATCTCCATATTGCTTTCCACAGAGGTTGAACTAGTTTGCAGTCCCACCAGCGATGTCATATCTCTCCGCATCCACGCCAACATTTATTGTTTTGGGACTTTTTAATAAAGGTCATTCTCACTGGATAAATGATATCTCATTGTGGTTTTGATTTGCATTTCCCTGATGATTAGAGATGTTGAGCATTTTTTCATATATTTGTTGGCCATTATCTGTCTTCTTTTGGAAAGTTTCTGTTCATATCCTTTGTCCACTTTTTGTTAGGGTTGTTTGATTTTTCCTTGCTGATTTTCCTGAATTCTAAATAGATTCTAGTTATCAGCCCTTTATCAGATGTGTAGCTTGCAAAAATTTTCTCCAATTCTGTAGGTTGTCTGTTTGCTCTCTTGAAAGTTTCTTTGGCTGTGCAGAAGCTTTTTAATTTGATCAGGTCCCATTTGTTTATTTTTGTTGATGCTGTGATTGCCTTTGGGTTCCTTTTCATAAATTCTTTGCCTAGGCCAGTGTCTAGAAGAGTATTTCCAACATTTTCCTCTAGAATACTAATAGTTTCACACCTTAGGTTTAAGTCTGTTACCCAGCGTGAGTTGATTTTTGTGAGAGGTGAAAGGTGTGGATCCCGTTTCAGTATTCTACATGTGGCTATCCAGTTTTCCCCAGCACCATTTATTGAATAAGGATTCTTTTCCCCAGTGTATGTCTTTGTCTGCTTTGTCAAAGATTAGATGGCTATCTGAGGATGGTTTTATATCTCGGTTCTCTGTTCTGTTCCACTGGTCAATGTCCCTGTTTTTGTGCCAATTCCAAGCTGTTTTAATTACTATAGCCTTGTAGTATAGTTTGAAGTCTGGTAAATTGATACCTCTCATTTTGTTTTTATTGCCTAGGATTGCTTTGGCTATATAGGGTTTTCTCTGGTTCCATATGAAGCATAAAATTATTTTTTCTATGTCTGTGAAAGATGATGATGGTATTTTAATAGGGAATTGCATTGACTCTGTAGATCAGTTTGGGTAGTATAGACATTTTAATAATGTTTATTCTGCCACCCAACGAGCATGGTATGTTCTTCCACCTGTTTACATCCTCTGCTATTTCCTTCTTCAGTGTTTCATAGTTCTCCCTGTAGAGGTCTTTTACCTCATAAGTTAAATATATTCTTAGATACTTTATTTTCTTTGTTACTATTTTGAAGGGAATTGAGTCTTTGATTTGGTTCTCTATTTGACTGTTATTGGCATATATGAATGCCTCTGATTTCTGTGTATCGATTTTGTATCAATTCAAGGAGTCTCTTGGTTGAATCCTTGGGGTTTTTCTAGATATAATATCATATCATGCCTATTTTGTTAAGTGTCCTTATACAAGAGTGTTGAATTTTGTCCAGTTGTTTTTCTGCATCTGTTGAGAGGATCATATAGTCTTTGTTTTTGCTTCTCTTTATGTGGTGTGGAATTGCTTTTTATGAAGAGAGACTAACTTGGCATTCTTGTCCAGAAGATGAAGCTCGATAATTGTTTGCTTTGCTTTATATCTATATGTATAAAATCTGGGTCTTGGTTTTTGATTTACTAGTTTGAAGAAATAACTACATTCTAATAAATCAAGTTTGATACATTTGTTTTGAAAGTAGTATTGAGAGAGTTGTTGGAGGGTTTGTTTGCATCAATAGCACTGGTTACTTTGAACAAATAAATAATAACTTTCTGTAGTTGCTTCCTTTATCAGAAAAGAACATTAGATATCATGATATATTACTTCCTCTGCACTAGAGAACAGCTTTTCTAAATGCTAGGGGAAATTTCCATAGCCATTATTGAATCAGAACTTGTGTTTAACTCATTTCTAAGGACCATTCTGGGTTTTTCAAATTTGTTTTTGTGTGTATATACATAAAATGCATATGTAAATGATTTTCTTTGTTTTTAAACATTCACAAAAACAAAAATCACTGGTAAGCCCATGTGTCTGCGATGCCATCATTCTGAGCAACCTAAGAATTGAAAATTTTCCTGAAGCTATAACATTTCAAATTAAATAGTTGATTCTTTATTAATTGGACAATTTAAATAGATAATTTAAAAGCATCCATATCAGAATCTGTATCTACATGTACAGTCATATAAATGCAACATTTCATTTACAAAATTCCTAAAAGGAAAAGCTTTATCACTACCTACAAACTCCTCACCCAGATGAGGAAACTAGACAAATCCTGGTGTGTTCTAATGCAGTAAACAAACAAGACTTAGTTAAATGGACATTAAAGATTCCTCTAGCGAGCCATTCCTTTACAAAAAGTTGAAATCCTTGTGCTGTATTCGCTAAAAGGTCATGGTTAATGGATAGCTGAGGGTTGGCTCATGGAAACCTAATCAGAAAGGTTAGAGATGTTGACAGTTTCAGACCTGCTGACATAAATGGGTGAACAAACTTTTTTTGTAATCTAAACTGTTGGCCTGTATGTTTTTTCCTTATCCCACCTCATTTCTTACATGTAGGCTCAATCTTTTCAGTATTTGGGTTACTGGTTCAGCAGAAGTCAGGAAAAGCAACTTTGTAGTAATCATAATATTATCCAATTGTATCTTGTTTACTTTATTGTAAATACTGGTGAATACTGGTCAATAAATAGTTCTATATTCCTTTAAAAAATGTATATATAGCCATGTATCACTTAAGGATGTGGTTATGTTCTGAGTAATGCATCATAAAGTGATTTCCTCATGTGAACATCATAGAGTATACTTACACAAACCTAGATGGTGTAGCCTACTCCACACCTAGACTGTGTGGTGTAGCCTATTGCTCCTAGACTACAAACCTATACAACATGTTACTATACTGAATACTGTAGGCCTGGAGTCCTCAAACTACGGCACGCGGGCCAAATGCCACCCGCTGAGGACATTTATCAGACCCACCGGGTGTTTTGCCACTGCTGCCTGTCCTGCTTAGCAGCTGACTCGTCCCTTGTCCACAGTGTGCACTCTCCAATGGTCTGAGGGACAGTGAACTGGCCCCCTGTTTAAAAAGTTTGAAGACCCCTGCTTTAGGCAGTTGTAACAGGATGGTAAGTGTTTGTGTTTCTAAACATATCTAAACATAGAAAAGGTAAAGTAAAAGTATGATATAAAAGATGCCATACCTCTATTGGTCAGTTACCCTGAATGGACCTTGCAGGACTAGAAGTTGCTCCGGGTAAGTCAGTGAGTGGGGAGTAAATGTGAAGGCCTAGGACATTACTGTACACTAGTGTAGACTTTATAAACAGTAGACACTTAGGATATACTAAATTTCTAAAATATTGCTTTTCTTTAATAATAAATTAACCTTAGCTTACTGGATGACCACCACTATGTATGCAGTCTGTTGTTGACTGAAGTATCATTATGATACTAGAAGGTACCCAAGAATAAATCTAATAAAAGATGTGTAAGAGTTATAAGAAAATTCTAAAACATGATTGAAGGATATTAAAAAATAGAGAGTGATTTTATGTTCATAAATAGATTGAATATTATAAAGGTGTCAGTTTTTCCCAAGTTAATCTATAGATGCAGTGTAATTCCAGTCAAAATGTCAAAGTGCTGAGTCTAAAATTTATGTGAAAGAGCGAAAAACTAAGAATATTCTAGTAGACTGCCCAAAGATATCAGGTCCAAATTTCTAGAACCTGTAAATGTTACCTTATAGGGAAAATGGTCTTTGCAGTTATGATTAAGAAGGATCTTGACATGGGGAGATTATCCTGAATTATCTGGGTAGGGCCTTGATCCTATTAAAAATATTCTTATCAGAGAGGGGCAGTGGGAGATAGGAAGTATGCAAATGAGGAGAAGGTGGTGTGAAGATGGAGGCAGAAATTGGAGTGGTGTGGCCACCGAGGAAAGCTATCAGCTACCAAAGGCTGGACAAGACAAGGAACAGATTTTCCCCTAGAGCCTCTGAAGGGTGCATTCTTGATTTTGGCTCTGTGACACTGATGTTGAACTTCTGACCTCCAGAACTATGACCAAATAAATTTCTGTTTTAACTCACCAAGTTAGTGGTTATTTGTTAAGGCAGCCATAGGAAACGAATACAAATAGCAAGACAGTTTTGAAGAAAAAGCCCTACCAGACTTCAAGACTACTATAAAGCTGTGATAATCAAGGCAGCGTGGATATTTACACTGGGATAGACAAAAACTACTGAAGTATAACAGAGAGCCCAGAAACAGACTCAAGTTTATATGGGAACTTGATGAATAACTGAGGTGACACTGCATTTCATTCATATGATGCTAGGGAAATTGGTTATCCTTATAGGAAAAAAGATAATTAGATTTCTTCATGCCATATATAGAAATAAATTCAAGAAAAAATTTAAATATGAAAGCAAAATGAAGGGCATGTATAGCATATATAGATATTCATTTATTTTCTTCCCAACTTTTTTATTATGAATTCCAAACATAGAGAAAATTTTAAAGAAAAGGACAATAACATTCATACGTCCGTAGCTGCCTAGATAAAAAAATTACTAACATTTTGCCATATATATGAAATGCAAATATATATATACTTTTTTTATCTTTAAAATTAAAAACATTGGGAGCTAAGTCATTTGAGAGTGAGTTTCAGATGTTATGACTCTTAATATTTCAATTTGCATCTTGATAGGAGAATATTCATGTGACATCAACAGTGGAGGATTTCTTAGCATATAAAAAGCAAAACACCATAAAGTAAAAAATTGAAAAAATTGGCTACATTAAAATTAAAAACTTTTGTGAACCAGAAATGAAGCGAAAAAAGTTTCAGACTGAGAGAAGATATTTGCAACATGTTAACTATTAAGGGATTATGAGAAAAAGACAAAAAACCAAAACACAGGCAAAAGATAATGCATGGAAGAAGAAATTTGATTGGCTAATAAACATCTGAGATGTTGAATAACTTTGCTAATAATTAAGAAAATGAAAATCATATTTCATATCTATCAGATTGATACAAATGAAAAGGCTGATAATACCAAGTTTTAGCAAGAATGTGGAAGGAATATAGGGAAATCTTATATGTTACTAGATAGAGTATCTATTTTTCCATTTTGGGGAAACTTTAGTAAAATGGAACATGTGTGTATCTTTTGGCCCAGCAGTTCCCCTTCTAGGTTTATACCCTATGGAAATCTTTAGATTTGAGCACAAAGTGATGTGTTCAAGAATTTTCATAGCAGCATTGTTTAGGATAGCAAACAAATTGGAAATAATCCAAATGTTCATCAGTAGACACATGGGCAAATATATTGGTATATTCATACAATAAAATATTTTACAGCAATGAAAATAAACTAAGTCTACATGTGTTAATATGAATGAATTTCTGTAACACAATATTGATTTAAAAGCAAGTTACAAGAGGATAAATACACACCCAGAAAACTATAAAGTGTAGAACATATAAAGATATTAAAGTAGAAATGCATGAAAATGTTAGGGTATTGCAGTTAGATTATACTTATAGTGTCTAATTTTTTGAGATAGTTGACAAGTACAAAATATTTGTTATATTCTCTTTATCTTTCTGAATGTCTGAATATTTAACAGAAAAAGTAAGTGGATAGAATCCAGTGGAGTAGTTGAATATTCAAGGTAGTGAAAGAATCATTGGTAAAGTTCCTGAGGTCGGGAGTAGGATGAGCTATAATTTTGGTAGACATATCAAAGAATTGATTGATCATGAGATGGATGTTTCTTTTTTCATAAATGTTTTATTTTTCTTGGCTACTAACAAGTTGAAAAAACTATAATGTATGTGAATTTGTATAAGAAAATGTGATAATGGCCCAGTTGTAGTTTGGTAAAAAATAAATATAAGCTAATATTTTAGACTTATGACTGAACTAGGCTTAATATCTAGGGTAGGCATCTTATTTTAAAAGATGATTTTAAAATAATATATGTTGATATGTTTTATTGTGTCATGTCCAGTAGACATTTTTATTTTTCCTTGTAAAAACTCTTAAGAATTTTATAAACTTCAGTTATTTTATTGGCCTAATTTACTGTCATTGGATTATATAATCATTTTTGTGACTCTACTTCATTTCCTCCTCTGAGTTGAGCCCTTTTTCTCCCCATAGCTGTTTCCTTCTGAGTATGAAAGATGATAGCATTGAAGGCATTTATGATACTCTAAAGCAATGTGCATTGATTTCTAAGTCTGCTGGGGGAATTGGTGTTGCTGTGAGTTGTATTCGGGCTACTGGCAGTTACATTGCTGGGGTAAGTTTCTGTTGTTTGATGTTTAAAAGGGGGATTTAAATTCAAAAGCAACCAGGCTTATGATTGAGAGGGCTTATGCTAGGAGTTTGGGAGACCTGGATTTCTGTTAATTACTAGCTGGCTATGTGACTTGGAGTGAGTCATTTCACTTCTGGCATCATTGTCTTCTGTCTTTTTTTTTGAGACAGAGTCTCTCTCTGTTGCCCAGGCTAGAGTGCCATGGTATCAATCAGCCTGGCTCACAGCAACCTCAAACTCCTGGGCCCAAGCGATCCTACTGCCTCAGCCTCCCGAGTAGCTGGGACTACAGGCATGCGCCACTGTGCTGGCTAATTTTTTTTTTTCTATATATTTTTAGTTGGCCAATTAATTTCTTTCTATTTTAGTAGAGATGGGGTCTCGCTCTTGCTCAGGTTGGTTTTGAACTCCTGACCTTGAGCAATCTGCCCTCCTTGGCCTCCCAGAGTGCTAGGATTATAGGTGTGAGCCACTGTGCCCGGCCCATTGTCATCTGTCTTATTAGAGATTTAGATTTGACTACATAATCTCTAGAATCCTTTTTTTTTTTTTTTTTTTTTGAGACAGAGTCTCGCTTTCTTGCCTAGGCTAGAGTGAGTGCCGTGGCGTCAGCCTAGCTCACAGCAACCTCAAACTCCTGGGCTTAAGCAATCCTACTGCCTCAGCCTCCCGAGTTGCTGGGACTACAGGCATGCGCCACTGTGCTGGCTAATTTTTTTTTTTCTATATATTTTTAGTTGGCCAATTAATTTCTTTCTATTTTAGTAGAGATGGGGTCTCGCTCTTGCTCAGGCTGGTTTTGAACTCCTGACCTTGAGCAATCCGCCCGCCTCGGCCTCCCAGAGTGCTAGGATTACAAGCGTGAGCCACCGCGCCCGGCCTTCTCTAGAATCCTTTTTAGCTCAGATTTTAGAATTCTGATTTATTTTATCAGTAATAGCAGCAACTATCATTTATTGATTGCCTACTATGTGTTAAGCGTGTCATAAATGTTTTACATGAATTACTAATTTAAACTTTACTACAATGCTATAAAATAGCTACCATTATAGACACATGCTAGGAATTGTCTTCCTTATAATAACCTTGTTAATATAGACACTATTGTCTTCATTTTGCAGGTAGGACACTGAGGCTTAGAAAGTTAAATTACTTTCTGAGATAAGTCACTTAATATGTGGTAGATTCAGTATTAAAGCTTTAGACATTGCTACTTTATCATGTAAATGCCAGCCCTTTGCTATTATAGTTCACTATTCATTGGGAGTCAAGATAATATTTTGGGGTAAGACCTGTGTTTAAATCTTATCTCCACTAACTAGTGGCCACTAGTAAGTTATTTATATCTCTGAGTTTGTTTCCTCATCTGTAATGGGAAGAAAATATCTAACCCTGTAGAATAAAGTTCCAGAAGGAAACTCTTCCATTATGTGGTGTTTTGGAGGTGCTGTGATACATACAGAAGTTTTACACAATAGTAGAGTGAACCATTGCTCACTTTTCTTTCTAGACTG